GCATACTGAACTGTGGATATTATATTATATTATATTATAAAGTACTGCATACTGAACTGTGGATATTATATTATTATATAAAGTACTGCGTACTGAACTGTGGATATTATATTATATCATAAGGTACTGCATACTGAACTGTGGATATTATATTATATTATATTATAAAGTACTGCATACTGAACTGTGGATATTATATGATATTATATTATAAAGTACTGCATACTAAACTGTGGATATTATATTATATAAAATTATATTATAAAGTACTGCATACTGAACTATGGATATCATATTATATTATAAAGTACTGCATACTGAACTGTGGATATTATATTATATTATATTATAAAGTACTGCATACTGAACTGTGGATATTATATTATATTATATTATAAAGTACTGCATACTGAACTGTGGATATTATATGATATTATATTATAAAGTACTGCATACTAAACTGTGGATATTATATTATATAAAATTATATTATAAAGTACTGCATACTGAACTATGGATATTATATTATATCATATTATATTATAAAGTACTGCATACTGAACTGTGGATATTATATTATATTATAAAGTACTGCATACTGAACTGTGGATATTATATTATATTATATTATAAAGTACTGCATACTGAACTGTGGATATTATATTATATTATATTATAAAGTACTGCATACAGAACTGTGGACATTATATTATATTATTATATAAAGTACTGCATACTGAACTGTGGATATTATATTATATTATATTATATTATTATATAAAGTACTGCATACTGAACTGTGGATATTATATTATATTATTATATAAAGTACTGCATACTGAACTGTGGATATTATATTATATTATTATATAAAGTACTGCATACTGAACTGTGGATATTATATTATATTATTATATAAAGTACTGCATACTGAACTGTGGATATTATATTATTATATAAAGTACTGCATACCGAACTGTGGATATTATATTATATTATTATATAAAGTACTGCATACTGAACTGTGGATATTCACAAAGGGCCAGGGTTTTTGAAGCTTTATTTTCTTAATGCAGTTCACAAGAACCACAAGAGCTGTACATAAAGAACAACAAATAGCAAATAAACATTAAACTAATGACATATAATAATACATTGGTTTTATATAGTGCTTGGCTATGACAAAAAAAACAATTGTTGATGAAAAACACTAAAACGAAACTCATTTGTTGCTCACACACATACTCACGAAACACACACACACACTCACAAAACAAACACACACACACTCACAAAACACACACACTCACAAAACACAAAACACACACACACTCACAAAACACACTCACAAAAAACACACACACTCACAAAACACACACTCACAAAAAACACACACTCACAAAACACACACTCACAAAACACACAACAAACACTCAAAATACACACTCACAAAACACACACTCACAAAACACAAAACACACACTCACAAAACACACACACAAAACACAGCATAGAGATAACATAATGTGTACAGTAGCCTACCTTCCAGGAGATTCAGATGGTGCGGAAGGTGGTTAACTTGTGTTTTTCATTCTATCGCTTCCATTCCAAAGTTTCGTGAGAAACAGGTAAACAGGTAAGACCGGTAAGACGCAAAACTCGCCTTCAAAATAAGAGCACCAAAAACACATAACACAAATAATCAGAAAAGAGTAGATATTTTTTTACATTAGCTAACATTACAGGTTTTTAGCATTTTAAGGGATATTTTACACACACAAATCCAACATTTAAGGCTGACAATATTTTTTGTTTGTTTTTTTCTCATGAGGTCTTTTACAGTTTGTTCTCACCGAAGACTAACTAATGAATTATTACAGGGGTGCCCAAACAGTCGATCGCGATCGACAGGTAGATCGCTGACTGATTCTCAGTCGATCGCGAGATGTTTAGTCAATATAAAATACAATTGTAAAATAGAAAAGTGATTTCAATTTCATCTCATTGCAGTGTTTCCCACACACGATACCTGTGTTGGGAGCCCAAGTATACTTCCGACCTGTTTGTATTTAATTTTTCATTTATTCATGAAATTGCTGCGTGCATGAGAGAGCGAGCGGGGGGGATAGAGAGAGAGTGCAGGCATGCGCAATGACGTGCAGGTAAAACCGGGGGGGTAAATGTTTTACCAAAAAGTCATATATAGAAACTATGCTACGAGTATGAAGCGCATTTGATGTAGCTGCAGCTACTTTTCTCTGCTCCTCTCTGCTGTCATGACTGTGAGCATCGCGGGGCACGAGACACACCAACATACAGCGCAAACGCATACACTGACACACACACACACACACACACACACACACACACACACACACACAGGAGCGCCAGCCACCACGCGAACCTTTTCACTTTTAGTGCTACAGCACACAGTTGATCCGTGATCCGTACGGACCGAGGCGGGAACACACGTGACCCGGTCAAACGGTCAGTTGGACTTTACTCCGTTCACTCTCACCGTGTCTGCAGCTAATTTAACAAAAGCAACATCATCTCACAGCAGCCTGCTGTAGTCTGTGAACATCTCCACACAGATTAAAGTTGTTTGTTGTGAACAAAATTAAGGGAAAACATATGTGATATAAATACAAACGTAATATTAAAATGTAGCCTACCCTAAAATAAGAGTTTTAAAAAAAGTATGTCGATATTGCATTATTTTTTACAGAACTCTCATTTATTATATCTGATATTATTTTCTGTTTGTTGTTTGAGTATTAAATGCGTTTGTAGGCTGTCGGTAAAGGCTATGGCTCACTATGTGGACTGGTAGATCTCGGCAGACTGGCAACTTTAAAAGTAGATCTTGGTTCAAGAAAGGTTGGGCACCCCTGAATTATTAAATGTAAGTTAGCTGAATGACTGACTATGAATACACCAACAAGATCTGTAAAAAGGATCTGACAGTAAAGTCCAAAACATACAACGGAGAAGAGGGGCCATGTTAAAAAAAAAAATAATAATTTCGAGATTAAAGTCGTAAATTTACGAGAATAAAGTCCTAAATGTACAAGTTCGAGACCAGCCTGCACGAAAAGGATGAAAGTAGAACTCTTAAAGGGTTACTTCACCCGCTGAAACATGAATCTGTATTGACATTGGGTCATATATGTAGAAATGTGAAATACATTTTGAAGTTGGTGCCTTCTTGGCCGAGAAAAGGCAGAAAGTGTCTTTTTGGCTCATGTTGATGAAAGACACTAAATCCCAGAATGCACAGCACCGCAGGCCACTCCCACTAAGGTCCGAATCAGAATCAGAAATACTTTATTAATACCAGAGGGAAAATCGATCGTTACAGTTTCTCCAAAATATACAATATAGCAGTAGAAATATAGTAATAAAAACACTTACAGACATGTTTACTTCAACACATAAGACCATTTCCTCAACTGATTCAGAGATTTCTTCCAGAATTGATCTTGGAAATTCCTGTCAGAAAACAGACTCTATGTCTGAGTCCATAGGCAAACAGTGAGAGCACCGACACTACCAGTCCGCCCCAGCTCGAGCCGGCCCGGCTTATCCTCCGCGGCCAGACAATTCCTGCCGACAGGCCGGTCTTGTGTCCCGGCGAGCGGCCAGCAGCAGCCAGCGGCCACAGCAGCCAAAACACAATACCAGCCTGTCGGCAGCAGCCGCCTCGCCGCTTTATTTATATTTACGCCATTATCAGCTTTCTCCATTGCGCCAGCATAGCTTCCAAGCAATATGGCGGACGTTAAGTTTCGATTCTGGGAGTGAGTTCCCACCCACTGATCTGTGATTGGTCTGTAGCTTCAGTGGTCGAAAATATGAGGAACCCGCTAACCACAACAGCTTCCAGTGACGCAAAAATCGTCATTTTGCGTCACTTGAAGCTCCTTTTCAGACTCAGAAATACAAAGATTTCCATCTCAGGAGAAAATGAGGGTGGGATGCACGACCATTCAAAAATACTACCAGGTTTCTAATGATACAAAGATTAATGCAAATGGGTGAAGTATCCCTTCAAAGTCTTTTCCTCTGCAGACAACTTCCTCCAAGTCAGTGTGGTTCTTTCTTCAGTATCTTTTCAGGGTGCTGATATTTCATAACAATGTGAAGATGATGATGTGCCAAAAGCATGTGTAGTTTCATATGTGCATAAGTAAAGCCCCAACACAACTATTTGTGTCTGTTATCGGTCTGCCTTGTTAAAGTGTCTCATGTGCAGAGCCAGTTTGTGTCCTGTTCATCGTTTTACAGATAAACAAGGTCTTGCTAGCAAATTTACGACTTTAATCTCGAAATTTATAAAAACTATATTTTTTTAACATGACCCTAATCCTCAGTCGTAAAAATCATTATAATATATAATTATGTCACAACATGCCTTCATATATATTTTTGGAAAACAAGTGTTCAGACATATTATTTAGAAAAACACATTTCAGACTATTTATCATCAGTTAGTTTAGCTTTTTTTGTTTAACCAGGAAAGAAACCTGTTGAGATTAACAATCTCTCTTTGAGTGTCCTGGCCAAGACAGGCAGCAGCACGATTAAGAGAGTTTCACAACGAGCAGCCAAGCATTCAAATACAAAATACATGATTAGACATAAACAGATAACAAATCTGAACAGCACGTTTGTCAAATATCCACGAATACATCAGGGAGAACATCTACAGCCAGATGTGTCTGCCTCCAAGTCATTTAAACTTTAAATCTGAGGTTTTATTAACTGATATAAAAGACTGAGCACACGCACGCACGCACGCACGCACGCACGCACGCACGCACGCTGTTCTCCCACGCTGGCTCAGCTGACCCCATCTCTCCTCTGTAACGCCTCTGTTATTGTTACATGATTCCTTATTGTAAAAAACAATCTATTCTTAATTAGTCTCAGTGAGTGTCTTTAGTGCTAGGCCAGTGAAACTCTAGCTGGTGTGAACATTCAAACACAGGGATCCAAAAGCCATTTAACCCTTTATTTGGTACAAGGTCAAGTACAGGGATGAACAGATGATTTTCTGTGCAATAAAGAAAAGGAAATTCATCACATGGCCCACACAAACTTTGGAGATTAATTAAACAGAGGGGAAGCAATGAACTTACGGTAGGCTACCTGGGCTCGACATTATAACTGGCCCGGACAAATGACAGACAGAGTCCTGGCAAGCTGATTACACGTTCAGCTGGTCCGCTCAGGCCAGTTCAAATACTGCCTTAAAAAAGAACAAACAAAAAACAGTAACACGTTCTCAATTTCACAGCGCTTACAGTCATGTGTTTTGTCAGTAATTATTTTGAGAACTTCACACTAACAACCCAGCATGAAAGTTTTGTCAATTCCTTATGCATGTCAAACAATGAAATAGAACTTCTCAAACTTCTTATTATGCACACCCAATCCAACCTATAACACATTCCATATTTAAATTAAGAGATTACTCAGTTTTAACTGAGTTTGAAAAAAAACAAAAACAAAACATACATAAAATACATCTTTAGTGAATCTGTGTAACATATTTGCTCAAAAGATAAACAGTTCATCAAATAAATAATTCAAACAAACCTACTGGAGTGCAGCGGCCGCATGATCAGACACAGAGAGTGGAAATGGCCACACCTGGCCTTTAAATAACCTGCAAGCTCCTCCCTACACTGATTGACTCCGCCTACTGCAATCTCAGTGAAGCTTTAGGGTGAGATTTTGAACACTTCTTCTTAATTAACTCTTATATAACAAAAAACAATTGTAAAAACTTATATATTTAACATTAACTTCTTGGTTTATTTTCTGAAAACAGAAACAAAAACATGAAGAGTCTACCGGACATGTAACCTCACACAGCGCTCTGACATCTCGTGTCATACATTTAGTTTAATCAGAAATAAAGAGTTTAACAGAAAGACATCACATGAATTATTTTAACATAAAGTGCAACAAAAGCTTTTTTTACATGACTGGATGTATAAAGTGAACAACTGTACAAGGAACAATAAAAAAATAATAAAAATCATCAAAAACATCTGATCTCATCTCAGCTCACACTCATCTATACACATTCACACCCTGATGATGCAGCAGAGGGAGTTATTTGGGGTTAAATGTTTTTTCCAAAGAAACATCAACATGTTGCTGCAGGAGCTGGGGATTGAACCCTCAACCTTTCACTTGGGAGACGACCGACCACCACTGATCCACAGCCGGCCCAAGAAATGAAAGGGACAATCTTTAATTTCTAAAAGATTTAAACTTGATGGTGAGAGAGCCGATGGAGCGCTGATGAAAGTGTTTGTGTTCAATCATCGTCTCAAAAACAAAACTGGAACAGATAAAAAAACAGATATAAATATAAACACATATACACATATAAACAGATCTCAACAGTGTGTCAGGATCCAGCAGGTGGACCAGAACAGGATCCTGGAGATGATTCACTCTGCAGGAGTTCAGTCTGAACCGTCTCACCCTGACGAGAAAAGAGATTTAGTTTAAATCAAACATTTAGTAAATCTGTAAAAACAGAACAGAGTTGATCTCAGTCAGTCAGAGAACATTTGATCAAAGCTCTGCTGGCTCACCTTCGACTCTTTGGAGTCATCTGACTTCAGACTCTTCAAGGTTTGATCTTTAAGGTTCACACCTTCCTGTATGGGAAACATTAATAAGAGAGATTAAATCATTGAACATAAAACAGATTGAGAGTAAAGAGAGTTTAAAACATACCTGGTGAGAGGGTCCTGAATGTCTTTTGTTTCCTGGAATAAAACATTATAAATAAAAATCAAATAAATGAAGAAACAGACCATAATATCTATAAAATAAACATGATCATGTTTCATTGTCACAGTGGAAACCTTACCTGAGTTTTGATGTTTAATCATCCTCCGTTTGAAATAAAACACTCCGAGTACAAAGACTAAAAGAATCCCAACACCAACACCACAGATAATCAGTGCAGTCCTGTGTGACACTTTTCCTCCACACTGAGCGTCCTCTGTCTCAGTTCCTGCTCTCAGCAGCTCTAGACCCTCTGATTCACATCTGTAATGATAGAGGGACAGTTATTACAGGAACATCTGGAGAGTCCATGTGTGATGTGAAGCTTCACTCACTGTGTGTGATTCTGACAAGATGTAAACGTCCCGTTTGAAAATGTTCCATCAGAGCAGGTGGAGCACACGGTGTCTGTGGAGGAAGTTCCTGCAAGAAATACAGAACACATGAGACTATTACACAGAGGTTGTTTTAGACATGAACACAGTCCCTCTATCACCATATATACAAAATGATGTCATGTAATTATCTTATCAGTTGGTCAAACACATTTCAGCTAACCAAAGGCCCAACTAGAGACACGAGTTGGAAATTAGCAATAGCTATAAGCTCTCTGTGCAGCACATCAGTTACCTGCTCTGTATTCAAAGTATGTTAAATTGCATCGTCCCTATTAAATAAATAAATTCAAATTCAAATTTAAAAAGCCTCGTGTTCAGAATGTCATTGGCTACAAGAAACGTCAGTCGTCAGCATAGTGGCGTGCAATTGGTCGGGTATAGATTCATCAGAATACAGAATCCTTTCATCTCATTGGCTGTAATAGACTGGGAACTGAATGGAAGGTCCTAATTTGCCAAATGGGGTGCCAATCGAAAGGTTAGAGTTTTGAGTATCCTAATTTAAAAAAATCATTCACAAAAATGAATCATCACAGAAAATACAGCAGGAAATCTGGAACAGCAGTGGACAATTTGAATCAATCTGTAGATCTTTATTTATGTGATGTGTTTGGATTCAATCTTCCTCTAGATTTGGATGGTTGGGACTCGTTCTGATGCAGCAGGACCGTTTTTGTTGGAATATTACGATCCAGAGAGTTCAGAAAATCTTCAGATGGTGACTCATAAGACAGAAGAAATGACTTCTTTGTCAGTGGTCTGTAAATAATCCTGATTATGACAGAACAGACTTCCAATAAAAGTGAAATGTGTTTAACTAACCGAGTTCTCTGATGTATTCTCCTGGTTCACAGCGTCTGTGTTTCTTTGCTTCCACACAGTCGTCCTTTCTAGAGTCTGAGCAGTAAAATCCTTCCAGAGGTTCACAAACTGTGTCTGATACTATCGTACACGACGTCTTCATCTTCAGAGCAGAACCTGTCGACACAAACACAGAGGTTATTTATGAACTACTGTACTTCTGCTCTACTAAAGAACAGTTTGGTGTAAGGAAATAACAAGTACTCAGATGATCATCTCTGTGTTTGAGGCTCAAACTCAAACTAACTGAAGGTTAGAAAGCTGGTTTTACAGTGATGACTGTTTAGTAACATGTTCTGATCTTTATTTAGTTTGATAATAATGTCAGAGATCTACCTTCATCACAGCTTTTACAGTCGTAGCACCGTGTACGGTAAGTCGGATGGTCCATAAAGGTTCCTTCAGTGCAGGGCTTACAGTGAGTACTTTCAGAGTCTGTGCAGTCTTCATAAACTCGACCTCCTGTTTGAAACAACAAGAAGACATTTTTTATTCTTTTTTCTTTTCTGTTGTTTGAACTATCAGAAGAGACAGAGTTGTCTTTTTTTCCACATGGACGCTTCAACAACATGAAACTTCTCCTTCAGTAACTTATGTCAGAGTGGAGAGAGAGAGAGAGAGAGAGAGAGAGAGAGAGAGAGAGAGAGAGGGAGGCGCTGCTTGTCAACTGACAGCCCAGTAGGTCTGAAAAACTTTAAAACACAGCTGAGTCCAAAATATGCAAATTTTGCAACGACAGTAGGAAACCTCCTTAAGGGGGCCCCAACCGACAGCACTCAACCTTGTTGCGCTTTCAAGTGTAAATGCATTGTTCCAGTGAAATCTTAAACTTGCCAATAAAGTTACCAAAGGAAAATGAAGAAGAATAATCTGTCTGGGTGAGAAAAGGAGGAACAAGAAGACGGTAAGTGGAACAGAGGACGATAATATATAATGAATATGTTTAAAGGTAACTGTAAAGGTAAATCATCTTTAAATGTATATGTTGAAAATAATACAAATATTAAACAGCTTTTGCATGTTTTTAGTTAGTGTCAGTTTATTTATTTAAAATAGGGACAGTGCACATTAATGAACATAAAGATGATGATGTTCTTTAATGTGCTCCCTTTGAACGATATAACGTTTTGATCGTCTGAGGGGAATCTCACAGTGGCTCTGGTGGCTCTAGTTGAGGAGTCATTTATAGCTTTCTGACGCTTTTATTCAAAGTGACGTACATCAGAGAGTAAGTACAACACAAGCAAGGATCTAGAAAAAAGGGAACAATGTCAGTAAGAGCAAACGATCAGCTTTGAGTCCGATTGGACACACAGGTGCTGACAATAAGTGACCAGAGGTGCTGACAGGAAGTGACCAGAGGTGCTGACAGGAAGTGACCAGAGGCAAAGCACAACATTGACGGCAGTTCTTGAGAGCTCTAATCAGTATAGAAACCATCTTATAAGTCGTCGTTATCAAACAAAAACCATGATATGGAGACCATCATCATTAAGTTAGTAAGTATTCATGAAAGAGCTGGGTCTTTAGCTTTTTCTTAAAGGTGCAGAGGAACTCTGCAGATCGAATGGAGTTTGGATGTTCACTCCACCACCGGGGGGCGACAGAGGAGAAGAGTCTAGTCAGAGACTTAGGACCCTGTTGTGAAGGTTGGATCAGACACGTTTCATTGGCAGAGCGTAGTGGGCGGGAGGGAGTGTAGACCTGGATGAGAGAGTTCAAGTAAGGAGGAGACGTTTTTGTGTCTGTTTTGTAAGCCATGCTTTGTGATACGAAAAGGTTTCTTGTCTATTATTTGCAGAGCTTTTCCATACAGAGACTCAACATGTTTCATTGTTGTTGATCCTGTAAGTGACCAACTGCTCATGCAGTAGTCAATGTGCTGTGCAGAATGCCATTGGCCCGGGTGGTACCACCGCCTCTAAGGTGGCTGTGAGACTAGGTTCTTTGTTGTCCATCTGCTGGGTTTTATGCTGTTGGCTCGTAACCACTGGTGGGACCGCTGCTGCTACGGTTTGCATGTTCTCCTCGTGCATGTGTGGGTTCTCTCCGGGTACTCCGTCTTCCTCCCACAGTCCAAAGACATGCTCGTTAGGTTAACTGCTGACTCTAAATTGTCTGTAGGTGTGAATGTGAGTGTGGCTGGTTGTCTGACTCTATATGTCAGCCCTGTGAATGGCTGGTGACCAGTGCAGGGTGTCACTTTCTCTGTAGACAGCAAAAGGCAGGTGCTGGAGTCCCTGTTTTAGTCTTTGTGTGCAAGTGCCTTATTAATATGCAAAAAAGGCAAACTACTCAGAAACAGTGACATAAGATTAGAATGTTAATCTAACCTGATAAACTTTAATTAAAGATTCTTTAACATTCATGTGGATCTTACCAGCTGGACACACAGGACAGCATCCACCAGGTGTCTCATAACTGTATGGACTACATGTCAAAGTTTGACCTGTGGAGACGTTCATCAGGAGAATCTGTGAAGAGAAAGAGAAATGTTCTCACTGAAGACAAAGTGTACATGAATACAGAGAGAAATCTAAAATCATCATCCAGTCCATGAAGAGAGAAGAGGGAAAGAGTTCAAATCTTCACATCTGAAGTTTGTCTGTTTGTGTGAGGAAGAATCATTCAGAACAAATATTTACACAGATAGAAATGTTGAAGAGGAGAAATATAAAACCTCAATCAGTGCTCAGATAATTCAATAAGATCATTTACCAGAAACACTGCAGCTGATCCAGGTCTCATTCTCTCTGTAACAGAAGACCAGCACAGATTCCTCGTCTGTTTGAACCAACGCAGATTTAGGACCAAGAGAAATGTAACTCCAAACCAGGACAGGTAACACACTCCCAGAGAGAAGTGTTTTCAGCTTCCTGCAGTCAGAGAGAGATCACCATCATCATCATCTTCATCTTCATCAGGACAGATGCAGATTGTTACCAGGTGTAAAAAGTCTCAGACATGAATGGAAATGAAATAAAGTTAATTATGAACTGGATCTTACCAGGTGGACACACAGGACAGCATCCACCAGGTGTCTCATACTCGTATGGACCACATGTCAGAGTTTGACCTGTAGAGACGTTCAGCAGGAGAATCTGTGAAGAGAAAGAGAAATGTTCTCACTGAAGACAAAGTGTACATGAATACTACCTGATGATGATAAATCTGTTTAATATTTCACAGAGTAAAAACAGTGTGAAGTCCAAACCATGAATACGATATTATCAGGATGCTGGAGTCAAGACACGATATAATATAATTATAATAACCCAGATAGAGACGATACACTTGGAGTAATAATAGCAGACGAACTCAGTGTTCTAGATAGACTTTTGGCTAATAACGAGCAATCTAGTCGATATGTCCTCAGACTGTGACATCTGTCCTTCTCTTACTGATCACTGTGTAATGACTCTATGTAGTTAATACAATAACAACATACTAAAATCAAGGCCGTTAATCTGGAAGTGTAACAATAGTGTATTAAAAAGCAACTCATTTTGCAAAAGGACCCTCTCCTTAATCAAAAAGGTCGAACTACAAAGTTATTTATCCCCATTGAATAAATGGGAATGGTTTAAATATGATGTTAGAAAAATTGGCATTCACTGAATACAGAGGGATACCTATTTACCTTTGAAGACTTTACAACAAATGATCTAAAGTAACATGTCATATTCTCTGTGTGTACCTTTCTTGTTTAAAAGTTGGTGAAGTTGATCTGTTTGATAGACGCTGAAACAGTCTTTAAACAGAAAAACAAGAGACTTCAATACTAGCTCTGGTAACTTCGACGACACCTTGAGAAAATTGTGTTTTTCTTTTTATCTGTCATGTCCAGTTACTCCTACGCTCAAAGAAACACATTTTAAAGTTGCATGTGCAATCGACCCAGTTGGTGATTTTTTACACAAAAGACTCCATTTTGAAGTAGATGCCTGTGCTTTTTGCTCCTCAGAGGTAGGAACCTTGGAACATTTATTTGTTGACTGCTCATACAGTAAAACATGTTGGGCTGATATCCACAGCTGGTTGTCTTTAAAGATTGATAACATTCCTACATTTTCTAATAAAGATATCCTCTATTATATTCAGACATTGTTAACCTTGTTATAATTTTGGGTAAATTTATACTTGTAAATGAAAAAAACATCAACCCCTCTTTTTATGTCTTTGTGTTATTTAGTCAATTACTTTAAATCATTAAAATATATGGAAAATAGAATAGAAAGGCCAAAAACTTGATTTGGATATATCTAAAGTCTTGCTCTTTTAATGTCTCTTGCCTTGCCTGAGCTATTTCTATGTTCAACTGATTTTTGTTTTCTGTATTTGATGTATGGAATTTATTTTCTGTTAATTAGTTAATGTAGATTTGGTAGTGAAAGTTGAAAGTTGGAGTGGTGAAACAATTCTTTGTAATATTTTCTGAACTGAATACACAAACTTTATTCAAATGTAAAAATGGGTCCCTGGAAGACTGTTGGAGCTAAAAAGTTACCAGAGAGTGTTTCACTGTTGCGGGCCCTCCACCACAACTTCTCGCACAGCATTTTATCTTCCAACAGTTTTACAGGGACCAAATTTCCTCTGAGGACAGTTTGTTATGTATAGAGTTATGAACATATACCACTGAATGTGTACATTTCTCCAACTTTCACATTTCTCTATCAAAAATCCACAGTGCATTTTGAAACATTCCAGCACTGAAAGTTTCAATCAACATTGTCCAAACTTTATATTTGAATGTGTCATTTACCAATCTATCATCAAACTATAATGAAGTGCACAGAGACCAGAGAAATGTTTGTTGAGGAGCCATTTCCTGGAAGATTACAAGACTCGTCAACAAGTCAGGAAGTCACGAAGACTTCATGTTTAGAAATAACTTCAACATTTTCTCCCTATGAGTCTTCTTGTTGTAGTCCTTATGTCTGCCCTGAAGTTTGAGGTTATTTTCATGTATTTCCATAAAGTCTGAAGTGTCAGACAGTCTGAGTGTCTCAGGATCCTCTGTGTTCATTTAGTGATCATTAGAGGATTTATAACATTTCACACCAGAAGAGTTTTAACTTTAAAACAACAAAGCTTCACTTTTACACTGTTCTCCAATGTTGTTTAGTCTTTAACTTAATAAAACACGGACACACATACCTTAATGCTCCAAATGGCGTCGCTGAAAATTTAACTTTCGTTTTTCAGCCCTTCAAAATAAAAGCATTAAAAGTAGAACCATCCAATAGTATCTGTCTGCAGTCTGAGAAATCATGGAGAAAACATGCTCAACTCCTTTTCAACGTCAAACTACATTTTTATTTTATTTGACACAAGGACGTTTCGAGCAGATGCTCTTCTTCAGCGTGTAAAAGGCAATGTTCTCAAATATACACAGGTGGGACTAATTTATACTTGTCTACATTATAACATGTTTATTTATGAAACACATGACTCAGAAAGTTCCTCCAGCCACATCAAAGCTGTCGTATACTCCAAAGTGTAAAGAAAGAGTCCTGCAGCCAGTCTCTGCAGACGGTTGGATGGAGCTGAGAGTAAATTAAAAAAAAAAGATATTTATTTTGATAAACAAAATTTCATTAAAAATACAAAAACTACTAAATCTTAGAGTGTAATAAACCCAAATAACTTCAGAAAGATGACATAATTCTCTATGAAGCGTCTGCTAAGTGAATTGTAGTTAGTGGTGGTAGTAACCAATAATGTAAATTAAGAACTAACACCACCTGGGGGCAGTGTTGCCAGATCTCGCAAGAGAAACAAGCAACCAGCTCTATGGAAACAAGCCCAAAACAAGCGACCTGGCTCCTCAAATAAATATAATGAAGCACAACAGGTGACCTAACCTACCACATAGTGTAAAAGATAGATCACTTGACAGCAGGATATATATACATATATATTTATTTGTTTGTCTTGTCTCATTTTGATTTGAAACGGTGAAATCCATGTCCGTAAGCCTCATGGATTTTGGTGAAGTTCTTTTTGCTTTTCAGTGCCAGCATCATCAGCATGCTGTATTATGGTCGGATCCAGTCTCTTTCTCTTTATTATATTTTTTTCCATTTAGCCAAAACTTTTAGGCTAATGACTTAAGTTGGATTTGTTGGTGTAGCTGGTCTGGCTTGACACTGTGTGAAAGGTTCTCTGTTGTGCTGTGTGGATGAGATGAAGACCAAGGACTCTGTTAGCAGCTGGAGCAGGTTTATTTTCACACCTGTGTAAAATAAAATACATTCAGTACACACCTGTGTAAAATAAAATACATTCAGTACACACCTCTCCTCAGCGGGGTCTCAGACCGTCTGACACAATGCATGGGTGTGCTGTGGGATCCATTTTTAAATAAGAACAAAAACAAAATAAAAAACAATGAATTGTATTTCATTTTAATTCTGATAGCATAATTAAACTCAATATTAATAAAATCTAGCCTAAAGGTTTTAAAAAAGGTTTATTTCTTACTCAACAGGGGAAATTTTGTGTTTTATCAAGACCAAAAAATGTATTTAAACAGCTAAGCAAATATACACTTCATGTTATCTTAAAATAATAATATGTATATATTAACAACAAGAACAAAGAGAGGGCTACCTGTGTAAAATAAAATACACTCAGTACAGAAACTTCACATGGGCCTACCCTTCCTGAAAGGTTGCTGCCTGCTCTCCCTAATGTTCAACCCTTCACACACAAGGAGAGGGAGAAAGGCTTAATGGACACACAATGGTTTAACAGAAGACACGGGGCAAAGGATCTTACAAAGCCGTCATCTGGAGATCAGGTTTAGATCACTGATGTAAAAGCACAAGGAACAGTGACGCCCGCCCACCACATCAACTCTGCATGTGATCCTTGTGCTCATTCAGGGACTCTGAACACTTAGTGAGGAATAAAAACAAGTTTTAAACCATCAATGAATAAGATTATGAAGTTCAGATTGATGCACCTCATCAGCTGTTTGTCATGTTGAAGAAAGTCTAAAAACTCCTCCTGACATCACTTTACTTTACAGACTAACATGATGATCATCTCTGATGACTCCTTTAATCATAGTTCATCAAATCTGAAACAATGAAGGGATAAAAGATTCAAATCTAACCTGAGGTGTCTGACATCTTTAAGAGAGTCACTGGCTGTGTTTGAGTCAGAGAAGATGAACATTTATCTGATTTGATTGATTTTTATAAACACATCAGTTTCAGTTTGTTATCCTGTTTTAGTAAAGCTTCACTTTTATTTCACTTTAAGAAAAATGTTTTTTGTGTCATTATGGTTATAACTATATATCAGGTTAAATGTAATTAGATAGTTTACATCTTTTAGTTTTATTCTGTCTTTTTCTTACAAACCAAACTCGACACTTTCAGGATTTCTCCATCAGTAAAATATCAATAATTAATAAATTAGAGATCAAGGCTCCTCAAACAGAAACAGACTTTCTTTTTATTCTCACAGTCACCTCGTCATCTTTCTGAAGCTGCACCATGAAGACACACGACGAGCACAGAACAGTTTATAGACGACATGTTTGAACCATGTTGTGACAGGAAGTGGTGGTTTTGTTTGGTTCACCCGAGGTCCTGGTGTACGTGAAACTGAGCAGAAGATGTTGTGATACCTCAGTGAGTTTGTGGTTTAGCTGTTTAGTCAAACATGAAACCTGCTCAAATGTTTTAAATGATATTCACAGAGCTTCAGAAGCAGACAGAAGAATAAAGAGAGAACAGATAAAGAGCAACATCAGAATAATAAGATTCAAAGTGAACCCAACATGACAGAATCAAATATAAAGCTGAAGAGAAACACACGAGCTGTCACATCTCTCCGCCTCATATGTACAGTCTCTGGTCTCTCCATGTAACGAGGTACGTAGAAGTTTTTTTTCTTCACATTGATTTAAAATGAGTCACACAGAGCAGGTTAAAACTCTGTTACAGTCTGTTGTTAGTATGTTAAAGTCTTCCGGTGTAAGTGCGACATGTTTCATGTATGTTCCGGTGTTTTACCGAGAAAAAGTTTGTTTGCTGAAACAGTCTGAACGTTGACACCAGTGAACAAAATGGCTGCTACACCCTCTGTGCTTCCTTCTCTGTTTCTGACTCATCAGTGGTCATGACTCTGTCTGTAAAGTTTTTCGTCTCGTTAAATGGAAATATTCAGACAAAGCTGCAGGGATTATTATTACTATTTCAGAGGATTCAGAAACACAAACATTTCGTTTTAGAGAAATCAGTGTGGTTGTTTTCTAACCACAGATTCATGCTCACTGACAGAAGAGTTAGTATTGTGATCATTGTGGTGACCTCTCAGGGATAAATGATGATTAAAATGTAACCATGATCTTTGTTGGCTTCATTAAAGATAAAAGAGAGAAGTGTTTCAGTTTAAAATCAGTGAAGTAAGTCCCACATGAATCCTCTCACTGTTTAAACTGAGAGTGTTTGGACAGAAACAGGAGGTTCAGCTCTGAAGGAGTCTGAATCTTCTGCAGGGTAAGAGCTCAACTCTGTTTGTATGTGAACAGTCTTAATGTTTAAATGATTTAAATAGAAGAGGTTTTTTCATTATTTAAAGTCATTTAATAAGTGTTTCAATATTTACATTAAAATGTATAATTTTGATGTCGGAAATTAATTGAAACAGCTTTAAGTTCATTGGATCTGGAAAGGGGAGGAGCTTGTGGAGTTAATTGGGTTTAATTAAGACTAGCAGAGAGAGAAGTCACTCTTTTGACCTCTCCTCACCTCTCTCTCTTTTTCTCTTTCGTTTTTGATCTGTGTTTTCTTTATTTTATCAAAGTAAACTCTTCAACTTTGATCGTGTGGGCGGCAAAATGCACCAGACTGTGTTCCTACATATTGTTGCTTAATGTTCATCATTGTTTCGGTCTCAGATCAACATTTTCATTTTTGGTCTGATAACATGATAACTGTTTGTACAGTCTTGGATTTTTAATGTCCCCTGCTTTGACAAAACCATCAACTGAAATTATCCATATTCGTATCAATATTTAATTCTATTGGGAGGTGATGTTACACCCTGATTGGTGGAAAGGGAAAGGAAGTGATTTAAAGTTCAAAGTTTCTTGCTGTTAAATAACTCTCTGCATGATTACTTTTATCCTTCTTGTTTCCAGGAGAAGTCATTGTTTTGATCCTTCTTCAATCCTTCTCATCGAGATGACGTCTTCAGCTGATCATCCTGATGTTTGGATGTTCAGTAAATACCCTTGGTTTACACTATCATTGCTGGTAAAATTATTTATTACAGCATGCTCTGATTTATTTTGAAGCTTTATGCTGTAGCACTATTTATTTATTTATTTAAATTCTTCTATCAACATTTGGTGGAGTGACATCAACTTTGCTATCCCAGTCTATGAATTCACATTGCAAATCATTGGAGCAAGGCAAGAGAGCACATCTCACACACACACACACACACACATCTCACACACACACACACACACACACACACACACACACACACACACACACACACACACACACAGCTCTGTTCTTCCTACAGCTGACTGAATGTGGCTTGTTTTACCAGAGGTATATTGACTATTATATCTGTGCACACTCGTACAACTTACAAGGATGCACTTAGTAGTCCATAAGGGCTAATACCTTTCAAAATCCCAGAAGATTTCCTTTGGAGAAATGTGCTGCAGATTCAGAAACTCCTGTTAAAGTCCAAAAACAAAAGCAACAATGAAAAAAAGGTTCAAAAGAAAAGAAACATGCTACAAAAAGCCAAAACTATTTGCCTAACAGCAAACAAGCTGTAAATACACGGAATGTATGGAAATACATAAATCTGATTCATGCTTCTTGCAGTCCCATGGCTTCCCGCTGAGCGTGTTGCAATGATTGGCTCGTGGCTACAGGGCCTAGAAGTACATTATGCCGTTAACATTTTTTGGGGAGCTGTTCTTCAGGCACTCTGACCGCAATCAGTATGAAACGACTCGACGTTCTCAGGGACTGTGCGCACCGACTGCACCGTGCCGACTGCGCTGACAGCAAAAAGCATGATTCAGGTTTTATGGTGAGCAGGCTGGTCACCAAACATCTGGAGAATCCTAAGGCCTACCCTAGACTATTGTCTGTTGATTTTAGTTCAGCATTTAACACCTTGCAGCCTCACAAACTACTCAGCACGTTAAATCATCTTAGGGTCAATCCATTCGTCATTAAATGGTATCATTCATTTCTCACTAACCGCACCCAGCAACTCAGAGCTCACAACCATCAGCACTGAATGAGGATTTTAGATTTCTCTCTGTATTCATGTACACTTTGTCTTCAGTGAGAACATTTCTCTTTCTCTTCACAGATTCTCCTGATGAACGTCTTCACAGGTCAAACTCTGACATGTGATCCATATCAGTATGAGATAAATGATCGATGCTGTCCAAAGTGTCCACCTGGTAAGCGCCTCACAAATGTTAAAGAACATTTAATTGAGTTCAGTCAGTTATACTCTGGTCATAGATTTAACCATTTATTGCCCTAATGGTTTGCACAGTTGTATTTGGCGGTATTACTTCGACTCTTAGCTCTCAGCAGTATCAGTGCAGCATGCCACAGATCTTCCTGAGAGCTCAATGAAGCTAAATGTGTGGCTAATCTTCAAACTTATTCAGAAGAGGCTTCATGCATCAATAACTCATTTTCTAGGACAAAATGTGGCATGTTTCCTTCATCTCTTCACCCTAATCACAAATATTTGGTTAACTTTTTAACAACAGAAAGAGAAGTATGTTCAAGATCACAATTTAAATGACTTAAAAGTATATATGCAAACTGCAGTCTTACTTGCAGTGTTTTGGCCCTGACACGTTCAGTTTAGACTGTGTGCATTACTTTCCTATGCACAGTCTTTCTTATGATACAAAGGTGCTAAAAGTTACACTACACAATATGCTACATTAGTATGTTAAGAAAAATACTAGCAGCCTTTGTGAAAAAAATACCTGATGGTTGGTTTTAACATAAGTCCCGCCTCTGATAGGGCAGACAGCCAATCACAGTTTAGGATTTTTGGGATGGTATCTGGGATGGACTCCTCCAAGAATCGCCACCTTAATGTGGTGGAGGAGTTTAGACGGGCTAATCTAGACTATTAATTGACGCACTTGCCGGCTTCACTCCTGAGCGTAAGAATTCGAAATAAGACAGTCTAATATCTTCTTCGTTTAGGAATATTCATTTCTCATTCCATCGTTGTCTTGATCACTGTCACATGTGAGCTGTTCAAACAATAATCCAGACATGTCCATTTACAATCACTCCTGTTACCTCATAGCGTGGCATACAGCGGTCAAAAAAGTGTAATTGCTCTCTGTCTAGCAATACCTGACACCCCAGTGATAGTTCCTACCTATATAGAGTTTCACCTTAACCTAAAGGCGACACCTGCTGGAACAATTTGTGTTTGCACCTCACAAACATGGCTCCTACATACCTGCCCCTAATTGTAACGGCATGCAGACATTACAATTCAAACAATAACAAATCAAGGAGCCACCCAATAACACAGAGAGGAGTACATTTTATCACACCAAACACCTGCTCCATACATTACACTGGTTACTTAAATAACCTGCTAATCTGCAGCCTCCTGTAGCATGCAAAGTTTAGTCACAGGTCTCTCAATGACGTTAGACCTTGTCTGCAAACGTACTGAACGTACAAGTCCCTTTTTTGTCACTGAAGACCTCCAAGACGGAAACACGGAAACATGGCTAAACAACGGAGTACCGGACGATGCTATCAAGCTAGCCGGTCGCCACACACACCGAGCAGACAGAATAGCAGAGGACTCCGGTAAGACCAGAGGAGGAGGGCTGTGCATTTATATTAACAAAGCTTGGTGTACAGACTCTGTCATTATTGGGAGACACTTCTCAGCTAACATTGAGTTTCTCATGGTTAAATGTAGACCTTTCTATCAGCCAAGGGAGCTCAGCTCCACTATTGTAACTGCAACCTACATCCCCCCTGATGCCGATGCTAAAGCTGCTATGAAGGAACTTTACACCGCTATCAGTAAACAACAGACTGCTCACCTGCATTTATAGTTGCAGGTGATTTTAATCACTCAAACTTAAAGACAGTGCTCCCTAAATTTCACCAGCATATTTCCTGCAATACAAGAGGAAACAAAACTCTGGACCATGTTTACACAAACAACAGGAGGAGCCTACACCACGACCCCCCTCCCCCACCTGGGACAGTCAGACCATCTTTCTTTGTTCCTCATCCCCAAGTACTCCCCACTCATCCAACGTGTGAAGCCATCAGTGACAACGATTAAAGTGTGGCCAGCGGGGACAGACTCTGTACTTCAGGACAAGTTCCATCACACAGACTGGAGTATGTTTGCTTCGCAGGCTACCTTGGGCTCTCACACAGACATTGACACCTACACTTCTTCTGTGCTGGATTATATCAACACCACCATCGACAGTGTTACAACATGGAAGCAGATCACTACGTACCCAAATCAGAAGCCATGGATGAACAAGGAGGTGCGTCTCCTGCTGAAGGCCCGCAACACCGCCTTCAGATCAGATATGCAATGGCCTACAGCGTATCCAGGGCAAACCTGAGGAGGGGCATCATCAAGGCCAAGCACTGCTACAAGCTGAAGGTTGAGGAACACTTCTCCAACTCCGACCCCAGACGCATGTGCAGGGCATCCAGCCATCAGTGACTATAAACCCAAAAACTCCACCCGATAACCACAGATGTCTCCTTCCTGAACGAGCTAAATCACTTTTATGCACGTTTCGATAGAGATAACAGGGAGACGCAGACCACGACCAGACCTCCTGCAGACAACCAGCCCCTCTCACTCACCTCCACAGACGTCCACGCTGCACTGAGCCGGATCAACGCTCGAAAGGCTGCTGGTCCAGACGGCACCCCGGGCGCGTGCTTAGGCATGTGCGGAGCAGCTCACTGGGTTTTTACGGACATCTTCAACCTGTCCTCGCCAAGCAGCTGTGCCAGCATGCTTCAAAGCCACCTCCATTGTCCCAGTGCCGAAACACTCCAGCCCGACAGCCTGAACGACTACGCCCTGTGGCACTCACACCCATCATAATGAAGTGCTTTGAGCGACTGGTCCTAGCACACCTGAAAAACTGCCTCCCACCCACACTGGACCCATTCCAGTTTGCCTACCGCAGCAATAGGAGTACAGAGGATGCAGGCTCCACTGTGCTGCACTCTGTGCTCACTCATCTGGACAATAACAACACATACGCACGAATGCTGTTTGTTGATTTTAGCTCAGCATTCAACTCTGTCATCCCCTCCAAGTTAAACACTAAACTCGGAGACCTGGGCTTCAACACCTCCTCCGTCACTGGATAATGGACTTTCTGACCAACAGACCCCAGTATGTTAGGTCAGGCACACCTGCTCCACCACCATCACACTCAACACAGGCGTACCACAGGGCTGTGTGCTGAGCCCATTCCTCTACTCCCTCTTCACCCATGACTGCAGACCTGTACATGGATCCAACACCATCATCAAGTTTGCGGACGATACAGCGGTGATTGACCTCATCAGCAACAACGATGACACGGCCTACAGGGAGGAGGTACAGCATCTGGCCGCCTGGTGTGCTGACAACAACCTGCTCCTCAACACCAGCAAGACGAAGGAGATCATCGTGGACTTCAGGAGAGAAAGAGGAAGCACGCACAACCCCATTCACATCAACGGGATGGCTGTTGAACGTGTCTCCAGCTTCAAGTTCCTGGGGACCCACATCACAGAGGACCTCTCCTGGTCCACTAACACCTCCAGTCTGGTTAAGAAGGCTCATCAACGCCTCTTTTTCCTGAGGACACTGAAGAGACACCACCTGTCTTCAGCTGTACTGATGAACTTCTACCGCTGTGTGATCGAGAGCATCCTGACCAGCAGTGTCTCAGTCTGGTACGGAAACTGCTCTGTCACAGACCGTAAGGCGCTACAGCGGGTGGTAAAAACCGCCCAGCGCATCACAAGGTGTCCACTTCCTGCCATTGAGGATGTCCAAAGAACACACTGTCTGCGGCGAGCTCATGGCATCCTTAAAGACTCCTCCCACCCTGCCCACAGACTGTTTACCCTCCTGCCCTCTGGCAGGCGTTTCAGAAGCCTCCGGACCAGAACCAGCAGACTGAGGAACAGCTTTTTCCCCAGAGCTGTTTCTCTACTGAACTCTACCCCCCGAACTCTGAACTCTGTCTCTCTCTCTCTCTCCCTCTCTCTCTCCGCACCCTGCTGACCCCCCTTTCCCCCATTCACATCACACCCATCATCCCCCCACCACTCCTCCTGGTCACACACACACATCTCTCATCCATCTGTATTATTGTATTATAGTATGTTCATATTATGTCCATATTCTTTATATTATCTGTAAACTAGTATAGCATGCTCACTGCATCTTAATCTGTATATTATTAGTATAGCATGCTCACTGCATCTTAATCTGTATATTATTAGTATAGCATGCTCACTGCATCTTAATCTGTATACTATTAGTATAGCATGCTCACTGCACCTTAAATCTGTATATTATAATCCTAAGAACACACTTATTTTGTAGCATTACTTATTTATAGCATTTATTTATATTTATTGCATCCCATTAATCCAGCCATCCATATATACCTAATAATTCACTTTTTTTGTCTACATCTGTAAATTTTGCAATTACTGTACATAGCACAGAATTACTGTACATAGCACAGACTCTTGCACTCAATTACTGTACATAGCACAGACTCTTGCACTTTCTGCTTATTTGCACTTCTGGTGAGATGCCAAACCTCATTTCGTTACTCTATACTTGTATATGTGTAATGACAATAAAGTTGAATCTCATCTCAAGACTCTTCCAAGAGGCCAGTAGCCTCATGGGGCAGAAGGATCCATAATGACCACAATATCTCCAGGCTTTAGATTTTTTTTTTTTCCTGTTCCATTTCTGTCTCTCCTGCAAAGGTAGATATTCCCGAATCCATCGCTTCCAGAAAAGATCAGAAATGTACTGAACTTGCCTCCATCTTCATTTTACATACAGGTCGTGTGGCTCAAACAATCCAGGTGGCAAGGATGGCCTTCCTTTCAAAAGGAGAATGTGGTTTGGAGTAAGTGGCTCGAGATCGTTTGGACGATCAGACAGTTTGGTGATTGGCCTATCATTTAAAATAGCTTCAGCTTCACACATGACTGTAAGAAGTCCATCATCATCCAGTCTTTGTTGTTGGATAACTGAACTGAGGATCTTTCTCACCATGCGAATTACCTGCTCCCACACACCACCATGGTGTGAACCTGCTGGAGGGTTGAAGCACCATTTGACACCTTTTTGCTGCAAAACTCCTTGTCCTTGAATCTATGAGTGATTTAGAGATGCCAGAGCTTCCTTTAGCTCCCTCTTTGCTCCTACAATGTTGGTGGCATTGTCCGAACGTATTTGAATGACTTGACCTCTCCTTCAGATGAAACGGCGCAAAGCATTAATGCATGCATCTGTGTCCAGAGAGTTAGCTACTTCTAGGTGAACTGCTCTGCTTGCCAGGCATGTGAATATCACTCCATAGCGCTTGACTGTGCTCCGTCCCTTTCTTCGGTCAAGTGGACCGAAGTAATCGACTCCAACATTAGTAAACGGTGGGTTATCGGGGAGAATTCTTTCCTTGGGCAAATCTTTTGCTCCACCATTACCATCATATCTCTTACAGAAGCAGCACTCTGTTATGACCCTCCTCACAGCTGAATTGGCGTTTGTAACCCAGTACTTCCTCCTTAGGGTGGACAATGTATGGTTGTGACCACTATGACCAAGCTGTCTGTGAATGTGCTTGATAATGAGAGTGGCTACATGCTGATCCTTTGCAAGGATGAGTGGGTGTTTAGTTTCCTCTGGTAAAGAGCCTTTAGTCAGACGCCCGCCAACTCTCAGGAGACCGTTAACCAAATATGGATCCAACCTGTAGATACTGCTGTGCCTGCTCACTGTATCCTTTCCACAAGACAACGCAGCAATCTCCTCTCCAAAATCTTTGCTGTTGATAGTAACGAACAATGGTCTGTTCAGCCTCCAAAAGATCTTCTGTTGACAGAGCTCATCCCTTTGACCTATCTCCATCTCCTTGCCTTTTGTTCTGAATTACACTCTGTTCAATGGCATCAGAAGCCTCCAACTCACGCCTCCTACGACTCCTTTCCAAAAAAGCCCTTTTAAGTTTAAGGAACCAAGCTACTGCTACTTTTAGTCTTTTAGTCTCCTCCAATCTGAAAAGTAGGTCATCAGGTGACCAGTGGCATCAGGTGAGCCCTCGACATGAACCACGTTCACCAAAGCTTCTTTCTTTACCTCCAGGTCATTTGCTTCTATTACAGTATCAACTGTGTTTATCGGCCCATCCTCTTCTGGTGTCATGGCTGACACGCCTTTTCAATGTCTCGTGGAAATCTGGGACAGTGCCTGTGGAGTGGCAGACCGGTGTGGTGGTTCCCAAACATTTAAGGGTATTTACTATTTACTTCCATCTCCCCAGCAAAGTTTTCCAGCTCCTCCTGGGGGATTCCGAGGCGTTCCCAGGCTAGAGGGGATATTTAATCCCTCCAGTGCATTCTGGGTCTACCCTGGGGTCTCCTCCCAATCAATTATTGTATACTACAATTTGGCCCTTTGGCAGGGAGAATTAATTGAATGTGGCCCTTGCCGTGACCAAAGTTGCCCATCCCTGCTCTAGGGTGCTGGAAAGGAGTTTCCGGCCGGTTGTCACCGGTCCTGTTTGTTATCTTCATGGACAGGATCTCAAGGAGCAGCCGAGGGGAGGAGGGTTTCCAGTTTGGGGACCTCAAAACCACGTCTCCGCTTTTTGCAGATGACGTGGTTTTGTTGGCTTCCTCATGCTGGGACCTCCCAGCAGGCACTGAGGCGGTTTGCAGCCGAGTGAGAAGCGGCTGGGATGAGGGTTAGCACCTTCAAGTCCGAGGCCATGGTTCTCTGCTGTCCGGGTGGGGAGTGAGTCCTTGCCCCAAGTGGAGGAGTTAAAGTATCTCGGGGTCTTGTTCCCAAGTGAGGTTAGGATGGAACGTGAGATTAACAGACGGATTGGCTCGGCGTCAGCAGTAACGCAGGCATTGTGCCAGACCGTTGTGGCAAAGAGGGAGCTGAGCCTGAAGGCAAAGTTCTCGATTTACCGGTCGATCTACGTTCCAAACCTCACCTGTGGTCATGAGCTATGGGTAGTGACCGAAAGAATAAGATTGTTGATACAAGCGGCTGAAATGAGCTTCCTCTGAAGGGTGGCTGGGCTCAGCCTCAGAGATAGGGTGAGGAGCTCGGAGCAGAGCCGCTGCTCCTCCGCATCGAAAGGAGCCAGTTGAGGTGGTTTGGGCATCTGTTAAGGATACTTCCTGGACGCCTCCCTTTAGAGGTTTTCCAGGCACGGCCAATTGGGAGGAGACCCCAGGGCAGACCCAGAATGCGCTGGAGAGATTTAATATCCCCTCTAGCCTGGGAACGCCTCGGAATCCCCCAGGAGGAGCTGGAAAACTTTGCTGGGGAGAGGGAAGTCTGGGCTGACTTACTGCGCCTGCTACCACGGCGACCCGACCTCGGATAAGTGGAGGAAAATGGATGGATGTCAGGGATGACCAATCAGATTTATAGATTTTATCCAAACATCAAGCATTAAACTTTGATTACCCTAAAACATTTGTGTAGCTTCTCAGTCATCCAGGTCATAGTAAATACCCTTAAACGTTTAGGTGCTGAGCTGCATGTGTGAACACAAACAGCTGAATGTTTCTCTCTGACTTCACCCGGAGTTTCAAACTCACATTTTTTACTTTCATTTCAGTGCATCTCTCACTTAAGGACTATTTCACAATATGCAATTTTAAGTCATTCCAAATAAGAACTTGTTTTTGGAAGGAATCTCAGGACCCCGCAGGGGGTCCCGACCCTAACTTTGGGAACCATTGGTATAGAGGACTCTGACGCTTCTTACACCACTTACACATCGCTTTCTTTACGTCATGCCTTGCCTCAGGCGCCCCCCCCCCCCCCTCCTGTCTGACAGGGATAGTCTCCGTTATACTGAATTATTACATTGTGGTTTTCTAATGGTTGATGTTTTAAGTTTAGAATACTTCTACTTCTTCTACTACCTGCTCGACTTAAACTTACCAAAATTTAGCCTCCATACAAATTTAACAGATGATGAATCGATAACAAGATGTGTTTAAATATGTTTTTGAATACATGCTCAAGAATAAAAAATTACTTCTTGATTTTGTTTCAAACAGGAGGTTGGGTTTATGAAGACTGCACAGAGTCCAGAACTACTCTCTGTGAGCGCTGCCCTGATGGAACCTTTATGAACCATCCGACTTACCGTACACAGTGCTACGACTGTAAAAGCTGTGATGAAGGTAGATCTCTGACATTATTATCAAACTAAATAAAGATCAGAACATGTTACTAAACAGTCATCACTGTAAAACCAGCTTTCTAACCTTCAGTTAGTTTGAGTTTGAGCCTCAAACACAGAGATGATCATCTGAGTACTTGTTATTTCCTTACACCAAACTGTTCTTTAGTAGAGCAGAAGTACAGTAGTTCATAAATAACCTCTGTGTTTGTGTCGACAGGTTCTGCTCTGAAGATGAAGACGTCGTGTACGATAGTATCAGACACAGTTTGTGAACCTCTGGAAGGATTTTACTGCTCAGACTCGAGAAAGGACGACTGTGTGGAAGCAAAGAAACACAGACGCTGTGAACCAGGAGAATACATCAGAGAACACGGTTAGTTAAACACATTTCACTTCATCACACACAGACAGTTTGAGTTCAATGTGAACTCACAGACTGGGACGCCATTCTTACCCCGTCATGGAATCAATATGAACGTACAAAGACGTGATGAAGGCAGAGCTTAGTTAGGGAGCTTCTTGACTCCAGTCTTTATGTTAAGATATGCTAACCTGGTTCTTACTGCAGCTCTGTTCTCTGGAAAACAGCTGATAAACACAACCTCCTCCTGTTAGCTGACATCTGAAGAACTCTTCATTAACATGTATGGTGGACGGTGATAGAGGGGACTGTGTTCATGTCTAAAACAACCTCTGTGAAATAGTCTCATGTGTTCTGTATTTCCTGCAGGAACTTCCTCCACAGACACCGTGTGCTCCACCTGCTCTGATGGAACATTTTCAGATGGGACGTTTACATCTTGTCAGAATCACAAACAGTGAGTGAAGCTTCACATCACACATGGACTCTCCAGATGTTCCTGTAATAACTGTCCCTCTATCATTACAGATGTGAATCAGAGGGTCTGCTGCTGCTGAGAGCAGGAACTGAGACAGAGGACGCTCAGTGTGGAGGAAAAGTGTCACACAGGACTGCACAGATTATCTGTGGTGTTGGTGTTGGGATTGTTGGGATTTTTTTAGTCTTTGTACTCAGAGTGTTTTATCTCAGATGGAGGATGATTAGACATCAGAACTCAGGTAAGGCTTCCACTGTGACAATGAAACATGATCATGTTTATTTTATAGATATTATGGTCTGTCTCATCAATTATTTGATTTTTATTTCTAATGTTTTATTCCAAGAAACAGAAGACATTCAGGACTATCTCCCCAGGTATGTTTTAAACTCTCTTTACTCTCAATCTGTTTTATGTTCAATGATTTATTAAAGTCTCTCTTATTAATGTTTCCCGTACAGGAAGATGTGACCCTTAGAGAACAAACCTTGAAGAGTCTGAAGTCAGATGACTCCAAAGAGTCGAAGGTGAGCCAGCAGAGCTTTGATTAAATGTTCTCTGACTGACTGAGATCAACTCTGTCCTGTTTTTACAGATTTACTAAATGTTTGATTTAAACTAAATCTCTTTTCTCCTCAGATGGTCCAGCTGCTGGATCCTGACACACACTGTTGATATCTGTTTATATGTATATATGTGTATATCTATTTATATGTATATATGTGTTTATGTGTTTATATGTATATATGTGTTTATATATGTGTTTATATGTATATATGTGTTTATATGTATATCTGTGTTTTTATATCTGTTCCAGTCTTGTTTTTTTTGAGACGATGATTGAACACAAACACTTTCATCAGCGCTCCATCGGCTCTCTCACCATCAAGTTTAAATCTTTTAGAAATTAAAGATTGTCCCTTTAATTTCTTGGGCCGGCTGTGGCTCAGTGGTGGTCGGTCGTCTCCCAAGTGAAAGGTCGGGGTTTCAATCCCCAGCTCCTGCAGCAACATGTTGATGTTTCTTTGGGCATCACCTATGGTGTAAAAAGAGCTTTTAGTAGTCTACTAGAAAGTACTAGAGTACTTGAGTACTAGAAAAACACTTTACTATCATGTCTGTAAAGTCACTTTAGAGCTGTAAGAGTAAGTATCATGCTGTTCAACAGACCAGACTCATCTTTTACCTCACACATTTATGAAGCTCAGTGTTTATTTGTCTGTTTTTTATTTTTATTGGTGAAACTGTAAAAAAGCTGAGCCGAGCTCAGAGGTTTTTAGTGTTATTTGTTGTTTGAAATATTCACTTTTTGTACAATGGATTTAAAATGACCAAAAGAAAAATAAATACCAAAGAAGTGAGAATTAAATATATTTAAATTAATAACTGCAGGGACTTCAAGTTTAAATGTTGACTCTTTATGTTCTTGTTACTATTGTAAAAAGGGATGAATAAAAAGATTTGACTAAATCAAAGTGTCTGATTCTTGAACAATAACATCAAACTATTGAATATCTGTGCTCTGCTGACCTCTGGTGGTCAAAAACAGAACTGTTTGAGGGTCTGTTATTTTAACTTTAACACTGAGCTAACAGTTCAAATATTTGTAAGTTAAAGGACAGTAAGAACTCTGAGGTCAAAGGTCAAAGGCTCAGTTCTGTGTAAAGCTCTGTGTTACATACTGAATGAGGAAGAACTCTGAATATTGAACTCTGTCTCATCAATCTCATCTTTCATCTTTTATTCAAACCTTTCTCTCCTTTCTGTCCTTTACTAAAATCTGACTTTTGTTTTTCTCTGTTTTTAAACGGTTTAATTCCCTTAAACTCAAGGCAACTGCTCGTAAATTTACGAGTTTATTCTCAGAATTTCAGATTTTTTTTTCATATACGTGGCCCTAATCCTCTGTTGTAAATATGAGACCAGAAAAGGCAGAAAAAAAATCAGAAAATGAAGACAAGCAGAGGAACTAAAGAACAATTGATTTACTGTCGTTTTCTTACCATTACAATGACTGGAAATAATTTTACTTTTAGCACAAAGTGTTGATGCTAAAAGAAACAAATGGAGACTCTCAGAAAGTTCTGTCTTTGACCACTAGAGGTCAGCAGCAGTGCACAGCTTTAAAACTGACATACATTTAAGATCTTACATTTTTAATTAAGTGAATAAAATTAACAGTGTGGGTTAGGGTTAAAGGTTTGTGGATGGTAGAGAAATCCATTAAAGGACTAAAATACAGTTCAGGTCAGATTAAATTACACATTTCAAAGTACTCTACTTGTTACTGTGTTAGTGCAATACTCACACAGGTCACTAGAGGGCGCGTAGAGTTTCAGGAAACACAGTACACCATTGTACCTCTCTGCCTCTTGGTGTCTACATACAGGTGTGTTAAGGTCCTTAAATCACAGGTATGTACCCCAGTATGAAGGTCAGGACGGGTGTGAGTCTCTGTCAGTAACTTTAATGTTTAAAGTCGAGTATTCTTGAAGCTTTATGTGAGAGATGTTAAACTGTACATGCTAGGCTAGTATACCTGTGGCTAATGCTTAAGCTAACATTAAGGAGCACGTAGAAATGCTAAGAAACACTTAATGGGCTTGTTTTGTGTTGATGGTTATTCTGAAGCACTCAAAGGGTTAATGCAGAATCATTCTGTTTAAGGCAGGTCCAGCTCTAGGTGGAGGGTTGTTGTTCATCTGGTTTTTTTTTTGGTTTTTTTTAGAGTTCTGAGACTCAAAATCTTTTCATAGTACACACACCATGGGACCATAGTCCGTCTAACGCATCAGAAAGCTGCCCCCTACTGGACATAAAACACATGATGTACTCAAATATACCCATCAGAAAAAGAGTTGATTCTATTTCACATGTTTTATTTTGGAGTTCCATCTTTTTAAAAATATATCTGTCTGTAATAACATCAACTGGAGTCAGTGTTTCAGGGATTTTTACATGTGTGTCACAGAAGGGAAACAGAAGCACGCCTCTAGCTTTGCAGAGTACTCCACACCCGGTCTCCCACGTTACCAGCTCGCATTGAATGAGTGTGCAGTCAGGCCAAAGTGGAGTTTAGATGAAATGAGTGTGGTCTGTTCCGTCGTGGTCTTTCTCAGCGTCTGCTGCACCCTGAATGCTGTCTGTGGGTTAAGTGCAACTCAGTCGGGGATCGGTGGTCGGGTCGTGAGACGATACCCTGGAGCCTGCGGCCTCATGACAGTGGTGTCCAGAGGTTTAGAAGAAAACCTGAAGTTAGCAAACACGAACATGAATGCAGCTAACTAGCTAATAGTTTGCAGATCTTGTGCAATATGGGTAATGTGGAATATATGTTGTGTTGTTCTGTATTGGTATTTTCCTGTTTGTTTATGTGCAGATGTGGTTTTTCTATTGTTGTTATTTATTGACTCGAGTGGAAGCAGCTTAATGTTTGGCAGCACTGTGAGTCCAAGACAACTTTCCCCGAGGGGACAATAAAGTGTATCGTAACTGCTACGTCTCAGGTCACAGACCTTTGAGCAAAGCAGGCGAGGAAACTGAGTAGTGATCTGTGTTCTGAAGTAACTGATCTCCCCGCTGTACCCACTTCTTATAGAACCGGACCAACCAATAAAACTTGATGAAGATGATTTGGTGGGGCAGTCAGAGCGTCTCACGAGGCGTTTGTACACCGAGCAACAAGTCATGATGGACAAAGTGTGAGGTGTTGTCTTCATGTCTGTTTGCCTTTTTGTTTGTTTGTCCCCTTCAATGATATTCATTAATCTTCCTGTTTTATTATTATCTTTTATTCATTTGTTGTTTGGACCACAAAATATCACAACATTTACCAGTGTTTACTTTATGAAGCGATGATAAAAAACAGAAACAATGCAAGTGATAGAGCAGACATCAGAACCATGGACAGAGTCAGAACAGAAATAAAATGTGAGACACAAATACATATTAGAAATAATCTGAAGAAATGTATTAAAACAGAGATGATTCTTTTTTCAAATGAATTGTAATTTTTTATTGTGATTATTTTTCAAATGATTTGTTTCTGTGGGAGGAAACCGAAGTGCTTAGAGTAAACCCACACCACCCAGGACTCCATGTGGCTCACATGTCGTCCTTTGTGGCCCTGGTGAGACCTGAAGTCCTTCCTCATATCCAGGTTAGACCCTCTGAGCTAGGAGCCAATGAGAGGCTGATAACAGAGAATAACCTGAACATGAGGTCTGACGTCAGGCCCCAGTAGACCTTTCTCACAGCTGTCATAGCAGGAGCTGAAAGGCTCGCTGCTACACAAAATGACGGCTGTGAGAAAGGTCTGTCCCCCCCCCACCTGAGGACCAGCGATGGTAACATCTGATTGATGGAGTCTGTGACAGCAGGTTTTGAACATTGCTATATGAAATAACAACTTTTAAAAATGCCTTTAAAAATTTCTCTCTTTTTGAATGCTTTTTGAAGAAGACCCTCCGAGCGCTTCAGACTTTAAATATTATATTCTGTCCACAATTTCATGAAAGGAAAGGACAGCCTTTAAAAAAGCAGGACATCAGAATGTGGAGTTAAACATGAAGTGGATGCAGTCTTTATCCACATGTTTACAGTTTCTATGATTCTCACTTCTTTAATACTTCTGATCATTTAGACACAGAATGGAGGCTTCATCATTCTCCAACGAGCAGAACTGAAACAGATGATTAAAGACACACGGATAGATGAGCTCATCAAAGGAATAAAACATTTGAGTCACATGACCTCTGAT